GGTAACCGTAGGTACGGTTACCGGTCCAAGTACGGTAACCGTAGGTAGTTATCGGTTCAAACCCGTTGTCAACAAAAACAGCATTTTTTAAGAAAATAACGATATTTTATAAAGGTTGACGAAAGTAAATCGGGGTCGAGGAATCTGAATCTGAAGTCGGTTTTTGAAAATTTTGAATTAAATTTTTTCGACAAAGGATAGGTTTTTTTAGAAAAATAATGATATTTTATAAAGGTTGACGAAAGTAAATCGGGGTCGAAGAATCTGAATCTGAGGTCAATTTTTGAAAATTTTGAATTGAATTTTTTCGACAAAAGAAAGGGTTTTTTAGAAAAATAATGATATTCTATAAAGGTTGACGAAAGTAAATCGAGGTCGAAGAATCCGAATCTGAGGTGAGGTCAGTTTTTGAAAATTTTGAATTGAATTTTTTCGACAAAAGAAAGAGTTTTTTAGAAAAATAATAATATTTTATAAAGGTTGACGAAAGTAAATCGAGGTCGAAGAATCCGAATCTGACATCAGCTTTTGAAAATTTTGAGCTTTACTTCTTCACATATGATGTTTTTCAGGGATAAAGTTTTCTAGAAAAAAAGACGACTTTCAAGGAACGGTTTAGCCTTCAGAAGAGAAAATTGAAAAGTTCAAGGATTTGATTGCAGATTCGGATTCTTCGACCTTGACTTACTTTTCGTCAACCTTTATAAAATATCATTATTTTTCTAAAAAACTCTTTCTTTTGTCGAAAAAATTCAATTCAAAATTTTCAAAAACTGACCTCAGATTCGAATTCTTCGATTTCGATTTACTTTCGTCAACATTTATAGAATATCACTATTTTTCTAAAAAAACCCATTCTTTTGTCGAAAAAATTCAATTCAAAATTTTCAAAAACTGACCTCAGATTCAGATTCCTCGACCCCGATTTACTTTCGTCAACCTTTATAAAATATCATTATTTTTCTAAAAAAACCTATCCTTTGTCGAAAAAATTTAATTCGAAATTTTCTAAAACCGACTTCTGATTCAGGTTCTTCGACCCCGATTTAGTTTCGTCAACCTTTATAAAATATCATTATTTTTCTAAAAAACCCTTTCTTTTGTCGAAAAAATTCAATTCAAAATTTTCAAAAACTGACTTCAGATTCAGATTCTTCGACTCCGATTTACTTTCGTCAACCTTTATAAAATATCGTTATTTTCTTAAAAAATGCTGTTTTTGTTGACAACGGGTTTGAACCGATAACTACCTACGGTTATCGGTTGACAACGAGTTTGAACCGATAACTACCTACAGTTATCATACTTGGGCCGGTAACCGTACTTACGGTTACCGCAGTGGGACCGATAACCGTACCTACGGTTACCGTAGTGGGGTCGATAACCGTACCTACGGTTACCGTAGTGGAAACGGTAATCGTACCTACGGTTATCGTCACCGTTGCATCCCTAAGAGTATCCCTAGAATATGGCACTGAAGGACCTAAAAGCATCTCAAGAATATGGCGCTTGAGGACCTAAGGGTACCCCAAGAATATGGCACTTGAAGATCTAAGGGTACCCAAGAACATAGCACTTGAGAACCTAAGAGTACCCATCAATGTAGCAATTGAGGACCTAAGGATACCCCACAATGTAGTAATTGAGGACCTAAAGCTACCTCTAAAATAGACTTTGAGGACCTTAGAGCATCTACAGAATATACCTTGCACTCCCCTCGTACGTTAATGAAGTATGGGAGTAGATAAAGTGTTGCTTTTCTTCCTTGCATGCTACCCCATTCTACTCCATTGATGCTCCACTCTACTCCAGTTATACTCCACTCTACTCCAGTGATACTCCACTCTACTCCAGTGATACTCCACTTTACTCCAGTCGTACTCCAGTGATACTCCACTCTACTCCAGTCGTACTCCAGTGATACTCCATTCTACTCCAGTGATACTCCACTCTACTCCATCAGTACTCCACCGTACTCCAAGCGTACTCCACTCTACTCCCGTGATACTCCACTCTACTCCAGCGGTACTCCACTCTACTCCAAGCGTACTCTGCTGTACTCCAAGATTTACTTTGGAGTAGATGGAGTATCGCCTTTTCCCCCTTGATAGTGACGTATATAAATTTGGACACTGAAGTAACAAATTTATTTTCCCACGTTGTCAATAACTTTCGTTATCGAAACATATTGCTGTACATGTTTTAGTTGAGTGACTGACTTGAATACCATTAATAATTTCGTTTTATTCAATAAAAATCTTATATATATATATATAAATACTTTCTTAAATATTTTATAAGCAGAGATTTTTTGTTAGAGAAGAGAGCAAACATTACTGTATCGACTCCTACAATTTGCATTTGAAATTGATTAATATTAAATGCCTGAGTAGTTGCTGACACACCAAGCTCTGTTTTCAGTGTCGTTTCATTCTTCTCGCTTCCCAATTCTATCATTCCATTAAAAATATATCGTGACAGTGTGAGATTTGGAGTATAGATCTCTTTAGGGTGTGAGTGTGGGTGTGATATAGCTGCCAATATCTAGATTTCGTCCCTGCTAGAGGACTCATCAGTTGGCTTTGACTCTGCTATATCTGTTCGAATGAATTCTAATTTTCAAAAAAGAAAATATAGAAAACATAAACAAGATATAATAATCTATACAGAGTATCCGCCTAATTTATAAAAATTAAGCGGTATACCGATAGATATCATTAACGCAGTGGTGTGTCAAGCTAGCCATGATCTAGGTTTCGACCTTGCTAAAGAGTCTCATCAGATGGCTTTGACTCTGCTTAATAATTAATAATACTTGTTCAAATGATTTCAATTTTTGAACAAAAATTCAAAAAGAAATCAGAAACAAAGTACTACCATTATTATTATCTACACAGTATTCAATTGGACATCACAAAGATCCCCAACCAGAATAGATAGATATTTTTATTATGGGTGAAGCAAATCCTAAAAGCGAGCAAATTATGGAATTATTTTCTTCAAAGGGCCGAAAAAAATCCGAAAAGTCTTTTTGAAGTCCAGTTTGAGGCACTGAAGGTGTGTTTTTCTCTACGAGATTATGAGTAACTTTATTATTCATATTGACAAAATGTATTTGGATATCAAAGTAAATATCGAAACTTAGTGCGCTCAACGAGAAGCATTGCTCAATCACACGTTTCGGTGGTGAAGTAAACGTTGTGTTGTAGCACAATATTTTTGATTGAAATGAGTAAGTTTCAGTAATTCTGCTTCTGACAAGAGCCTACCACTCTCTAGAATTACTACTGATTTGTTTAGAATGTTAACCAAGAATTAGAATATAATTTCTACAGAAAATATCTAAGTGTCCGGAAGAAAAACCGGTAATTGGGAAGCAACGGGAAAAGCTTGTAAAATCCTGAGTTCTTTGGAACCATCGGAAGATCGGGCAACACTAATTCTAACAGTTCACAAACGCATGATGCCTTCTGATGCCAAGAAGCACGTAAAAGAGTCAGTGAAAATTTCCAAAAAAAAATCGAGTTTCTCGAGTTAAACCCACACGGAGACTGGGTCTAGCTCGACTTGCTTTGGATCTCTATTGTAAATCTGCAGAGTTAGTTGTAATCTGTTTAGAATGTTAACGAATAAGTAAAATGTAATTAAGATAGATAGAAAGTAGCCGCAATGCGGAAAAATCGAGAAACACCCGCAAAATACAGACTAAATTCGGTATGAAGAAAAAAATATCCAGCAAAACTTTCAAGATGCAGAAGATCTGTCAACACTAGTTTTGGTATGGTTAAAATTAGAATTTGACGCAATTTTATTTTATTTTTGTTAATGTTTTCTATATTTACATGAGTGACGTTCGAGGATTCTTTTTAAGTTCAGGTTATTTCGAGTCCCGACGATGAGTTTCGTGCTAAGAATCAGTGTCCGTTGGAAGGATTGTTGCCATAGTCGATGGATTGCCGATTTATAGTGACGAAAACGTTTCTCGTGCGTGTAATGTAAATGCATGATAAAACAGATTAGCTTGTATATCTAAGATACTAATCAATCTGCTAATCTCAACTTTTGCTTTTCAGCAACCGATGTTTATGTCGAAATCAATTGAAAATAATATGTGCTTGTAAATAAAAATGAATGCAGAAATTAGCTTCGCCGACGCGTTTCGTGTCATTTATTTAAGAATAAAAACACTCATCAGGACTCTGCAAAAAAAAGGGATTTTTTATGCACAAAAGAACAAAGAACAAAAAACATAACAAACAATAGCATGAATACACTAATATAGATAAAAGAAACATGTAAGTGAACGAATAGATTAACGAAAAAAAGCTGAATCAGTCAAGAAACGTATTGAATCTATTGAATGCAGCAAATCAAAATGAGATGGTCTTGATAAATGGGAGGTAATACAATGAATAGATAGTAGAAATCAACAATTCTTAAATAAATCAGTAGTATTTTGAGGATAACTAATACATAGTTATGGAGTATTTGTAATGAATAGCCAGTTAATCTTATTTAAAATAAATAAATAAGTTAAGTTTGACGAGTTTGAACTAATTGCCGTTGTAAATTGTCAAGATTACGAGTACCAAGAATCGGGATAATCTCATTAATAGGAGATTTTCCAAAATATTTATTCCAAAGTACTTGGAATTTTCGAAGAAATGTTTTCATATTAGAACAATAAGTGGAATGAACAAACATTGTTTTATTGTAGTTGATTGGTATTTTTTCTTTAAATGGAGCATTTATAATTTCTTGACGTAGTTTATTATAACTATTTTCAGTTAATGGTTGATCAATATTAAATTTTTGTGATAGATAATTAAATTGTTGATCGATAAATTTGATAGGGTATTTATTTAACAGTAAAGGCATTCGTAATTTCTCACGTTCATCCAAATAAGCTTGAAATATAGAACAATATCTAATTGCACGGAGCAGCATAGTAAATGGTATGTTCTTTTTCATATGCATAGGATGAATACTATTGAATGGTAAATAATACGGCTCATAAGATGGCTTATAATAAACTGTAGTAAATAGCTGATCATCTTTATTTTCGATATGTACATCTAAAAAATCAGCATATGAGCTAATATTAGCTGATAATTTAATATTCTCATCAAATTTATTCCATCGATCAATCTGTTTCATAAAATGACGTACAGGCCAATTGATAATAATAAATAGATCATCAATATAACGTAAATAAAGACCACCACTATTGTCAATTTGTCGAACGATATCACGTTTATAGAAGAACATATAGCAATTAGCAACGATCATTGCAAGTAGAGATTCCATAGCTCCACCTCTTATTTGATGATAATATTGGCCATTATATTTAAAATAATTGTTTTTGCATAACAAATCTGGCTAGACGAATAATAGCTTCGACCTTTAAATCTTTAATTTGTCTTATTCTGAGATGATCTAACATCTTTTTTTTATGCTAGTACTCCTTCAACTTGTAGAATCATTGTATATAGGTCAGCTACATCAATTTTACAAAATATGGTTTCTTTTTTCATATTAACTTGTGACCATTCTCGTAATTTTTTGACTAATTCGAAGCCAGACGTAACTGTTGTGTCTAAGGCCATTTTGTCAAATAATGGTCGTGATAAATCATCAAGAAACTTGGGGATCTTTATTGTTGGATGTTTAAGACCTGAAATGATTGATTAATTACTCATATTGTTTTTGTGTAATCCATTTAGCTAGACGTAAATTTAATAAATATTGATTAGTACGTTGAACTAAATCGGATAGTGAATCTTCAGTACCAAGACATACATTAGCATTGGTTTTATTCATATATTCTTCAGATCCTTTTTCATAATTTTCCAATTTACCTAGATGAAATACTTTTGATTTATCAGTTTTTCTTATAATTGTATTTGTTAATCGAAATTTATGCTTTAATCTTTTAATCAATCGGTGGTAATTTTTCTTCTTTTTAATCGACCGAGTATTCATCTGAGGCTGACGTGAAATAATAAGATCATCTGGAATAGTAATAGAAGCATTTTGACTTGTTATTTGATTAATTTGACGACAATTGGTTGTAATAGAAGACGGAATAGTGTGAAGATTTTGGAGGAGAATATCTAATTCGGTAATAAATTGTTGAACTGGACGACCAGGACTAACTTTTTTCTCAAAAAATCGAGTTTCAATTTTTCTTCGAAGTGCAGCCAACTCAGTTATACGTCGTCTTGACGCTGTTTGTGGATCATTAAATATAAGCCGATGGCCTAATTGAAGTAATTGATATTCATCCTCGGTGAGTTTTATTTGTGATGCTTCATTAATTATATTTGGACCGATAATAAATGAGTCGGGGCAATTTCTTGTTGTTGTTGTTGTTGTTGTTGTTGCAGATCGTCGATTTTGTCCTTGACTTCTTGCATCTCTAAAAAATAACATGTTTGTTCGGCTTCTATATTTAATCGTTTAATACGTAATTGATGATAATATTCAAATGTAGCATAACTTCTTTCTTCTCTATTATCTTGACTTTGTTGTGCATCATTTTGATTTTCTTCTTCTTCAGTAATATGCAAATAATTTGAACGCTTTTTAGATCGATTATTTTCAATAATTTCATCAATTTCATTTTTTATCGTATCAAATTCACCAGCAGCTGCTCTACAATATAATTCCATAATTTTTCTATAAAATTCATTTGTTATGTGATGCATATCATTATATATAGTTTGTACATCATCTTGTTTTAACATCGATTCATCATTTTTAAAAGAGAAGTCATTTTTTGTAATGAATCTTGGAAGTAAATTAGATTGAAGACGTTTTTGTGTTATATAAAAGTTTTTATTTTTAATAGACCATATTTTCATTTTTGGCTTTAAAACTAAATGGATAATTTTATGTGGTGCAATAGAGACTTGCTCAAAATCTTCTAATCCTTTATATTCATCCATTTGTGCTTTAGCTAATAAAATACGTTTATCACACATTTTTTTAACATGTTGTATACAATCTTCAATATAATTAGACATTAACTCTCCAAATTGATCGATATCAAAAGCAAGACGTGGAACCATAGCGGTAGCAGATGATGTGGATGTTATACAAGGGGGAAAAAACGGAATCCTGGAATCTTGAATTCCTCTGGATTCCAAAGATTCCCTGTGATTCTTTCAGATTCCAAGGATTCCATTGGATTCCAATGGATTCCATCGGATTCCATTGGATTCCATCGGATTCCATTGGATTCCATTGGATTCCATCGGATTCCATTGGATTCCATTGGATTCCATCGGATTCCATTGGATTCCATCGGATTCCATTGGATTCCATCGGATTCCATTGGATTCCATCGGATTCCATTGGATTCCATCGGATTCCATTGGATTCCATCGGATTCTATCGGATTCCATTGGATTCTATTAGATTCCATTGGATTCCATGATTCCGGGGATTCCATTGGATTCTATCGGATTCCATTGGATTCCATTGGATTCCATTGGATTCCATCGGATTCCATTGGATTCCATTGGATTCTATTGGATTCCATTGGATCCTATTGGATTCCATTGGATTCCATGATTCCGGGGATTCCATCGGATTCCATTGGATTCCATCGGATTCCATCGGATTCTATCGGATTCCATCGGATTCCATTGGATTCCGTCGGATTCCATTGGATTCCATCGGATTCTATTGGATTCCATTGAATTCCATGATTCCATTGGATTCCATCGGATTCCATTGGATTCCATGATTCCGTGGGATTCCGTGGGATTCCGTAATATTCCACCGGATTCCAGGATTCCAGGATTCCGTTTTTTCCCCCTTGATGTTATAGCATTGGTATCTGTAGTTGTAGCTTTGAAATTTTTTATATATTTTTTACGTTGTACTATTTGTGTCCAATAATCACTAAATTCTCCTTGTAATCTAGAAATTGTTGCACGTGTTTGAAGGATTGTAGACGATAATTGATTAATTTTCTTTTTGATTTCATGATCAAAATTTTTATTTCATATAGAGACATACAAAATGGATGAGTATTTTTCATTATATCATATATATAAGTGTGTATATCAGTTAAAATAAAATTAAAAAAAATACATATTTGACAACAAAAGCTTTTTGCGATACATAAAAGAATTACAAGTATCGCTGAGCTTGACTATAACAAAACAGTATATCTTGGCATTTCGTATTGTTTACATGAACAGTCTAAAAAATTCTTGGGGTTTCTTGCCGCATATAGGACATGTATTTACTAACTGACTACATGAAATACACAAAGCCAAATGCAAACAGGGAATGGCTGCAATTTCTTTGGAATTTACGAAGCACCATTGACAAACATTATCATTATTTGTAGATCTTGCAGCATTTTCTTTAAATGACAATTGTGCATAACGACAAGTAGGAGACTGACGAAGATGTTGAACAATGATTTCATTCGATGAATAATGATGAAAATCTGTGACGCCAACTTGACAATGATAACATCGAAGTCTAGTTCCTATTCTGCAATAGTAAAAACCAGATCCAACTAATGCTTTAATATTTGTTGTAAATCCATCAAGAAAAGTAGAAAACGATGCATATCAATGTGGTGGAAGACAATAATGCGAATTAGATGGCAAAATCATAGTTGGATTATGTTGAGTCACATCAGAATCTATTTTTTCTTGTGTAAAAATTCCATCTAAATCTTTGGTGGGCACTGAACTTGAATGCATTGGATGTGATGGAAGAAGAAAAGGACAATCTGGTGACAACTCCTGATGAACATTCCAAGGATTATCATCATAGTTCCAATTATTATGTTCTACAACACAATATAAACATATCGTGTAGTCTGTTCCTTTTATCGTATTCAAGCACCAGCCACCATTTATTATTTTAAACTGAGATGGTGATCTATGAGGCCAACCAATAAATGAATGTTCACGTTGAATTGTTTTCTCAATCTCTTCTGTAAAATCGACCGTATGACGAATTTTTTTTGCTTGTTCTCTGATTTGCTTCATTTTTATACTTGGTATAACTATATTTTGTTTTTTACCATCAGTATATTCAATTTGTTTTTGAAGAATTACACAAGCAACATACAAATCAAGTTCAGATGGGTGTGGGTGTGTTTAGATTCGAGATTTAAATATAAATCAATCGAATAGCTAGCAAGACTGGTTTCGATAAGTGCTGATGTTATACTTATCAATTGCTTTTTGATTTTCGTAAAATAATTTTTCCTACTGCGAGTACAATAGTTGGAAGTCAAGATAAACTCCTAAGCTGATCATATTCACAATAATATATCATTGGGTAACTTATCAGTAACCAGGGAGGGTGTGGGTGTGAGGTGTGACAAGCTGCCAGATACGTGGTTCGATCCTGCTCAAAGATCTCATTCAGATGGCAATTAGTACTAAAGAATTTCAAAGCAAAATTCTAAGTACCATATCTAAACTGTTTAAAGCTTGAAGTGTTTAGATGTGTAATATGTAGCGAATACAGTGGATGTTATGTCCAAACTTTGGATTGTGTTTTGTGTAAATCAGAGATTTCGACTTTTTTTGCAAAGGAATGTTTTTGTTTTTATCGGATTTGTTTCGCTTTATTTTTTGAAATTATTCTTTATTTGAAGCCGTGTGTCCTATAGAATAGCTTTGCTTTTTGTTGTTCCAATAGAAACATACCATTTTCTTCGATATTTTAACTTATATGCGAATCGAATTCCTCAATAACATTAATTGCAGAGATTCTTCATTATGCAAGTTTCATTTTCGAAGATGACGGTAGAAAAATCGATGTTGTTGCTGTTGTGTTAATCGACAAAATGAATTCATTCGAAGAAAAACGAGCCTTTATATACCCAGCAAGACACGACAGACCACAGCATTTTACGAAGACCACGTGATACTACGACAGATGTTGGAAGAGGTCGTGCCCAAGACGACAACAAAGGTCATACCCTAGATGATGGCAATTGGGTGTGGGTGTGGGTATGTATTAGAATAATCGCCGTTACACGACAACGTTGTTTCTGTCTTGGTGGGACTTCTTCAGGTGAATACTTAATATTGTATCTACTTGGATAGTAATTCAAGAAAAAATATAGAAAAAACATGTGTGTTTAGAATAGTGATTCGATTTCGAAAACTCAAAAAGAAAATTAACTACAAAAAATATAGCAAACCTAACACGAAAAAATGTGGACGTTCATAAAATAGCATAGTCATTAGGTATATCCTGATTATTATGGTCGATGAATAACTTTAATGTTCACATTATCAAATTCCTTTTTTTTCTAATACTATTCCTATAAGGTTTTCCTCTTGTTGAAAATCGTATTATTCTTTACTACTAACATCAAGTACCGATTTTTTTATTTACAAAAAACGATAGACCATTGAATTTTTTAGAAGAATAACAATAGAAAAAATCTCATTGATTATTTTTGTTACTGATTTTCTGATATTGATTGAAATATAAAAATTCTATAATACCGAATATGATCGAGTTTTGAACATTCGTTCCTAACAATAATAAATAATTATTCTTTTTCTTATATCTAAATGAAATAATGATACTTCATTACGATCTTATTGTGATTTTAAACCTTGTTCATTGTTAACTAACTCTTCTTATAATAATAAATTATCTTTAATACCTTCAACACATAATTGTTTCAAACGATCAACGTCTATATGGGAAAACTTCTAGTAATTTATTAGCTGATTCAGGACCATTTCTAGGTTTTTTTGTATTTCCTGTACGTATTGGAACAGGTGGTTCAGATTTTTTTTTCTGGAATAAATCGATTTATTTCTCGTACTTGTTTAAAGTGAAAATTTTCATTCTCACCATTTTGAAAATCTCGAAGAAAAATAAAAAAACAAAGATAATCGTTATCACAAACAAAATAAATTAGATTGATTTATCTAGTTATGTTTGTTTGTTTTCTTAACTAAGAAACAATAACATATTCCTGTTTTTTTTTCTTCACAATAAAAAGAATAGAAAAAAAATCATCACACAAGATATGCAAACGTGTATGAACAAGAAAAAAATTCTTTCCTTTTTTTTTATATGAAGTCAACAAGTTCTTTTTTTTAATTTTGATAATCATAAAGATACTTTTAATTGATATTCGAAAGAGAATTTGATGGCGATGGTCGTCGATGTTCAATATAATGTTGAACAGCTTCTTTCCATCATTCATATTTAACAGCTTCACCTAACACGAACAAGTTTTATATGAAGAGACATGACGAATTCATTGTTTTGGTGGCATTAACATTTTTTAAAATTATACAGAATCATCGTTTTTTTTACTTAGGGCAATCCAAAAGTAGTGGCGCCATTACCAAATTTTCTTATAGAAAAGTTAAAGAAATTTTCTTTTTTTATGAACAGATAGAGCGTCTTTCATCCTATTTTTCTATGCTATTTGATCACTATTCAACTGATGTCATAATAATAAAATTTCGATAAGTAGTATTTTTATTGCATACTACCTGGTGGTATTAGATCATAATGGGTGAGACAATTTTGCATTTCATTTTATTCTCACTTAGTAAGTTGTATTAAAAAAACAAAATATACCACATGATGCAGCGTGAAAAGCTCTACAAATTATAAACGACCATTTATTTTATAATTGCATTTTTTATTTTCAAAATGGACAATTCTGTGAGCGACCAAATTTCTACGTTGCGAAAACGAGATTGTTTTTTGATAAAAGACGAATTCGTTTTTTCTTATCTCATCTTTTTATTATTTGATATACTTTGTTAGAAAAAAACAAAATGCATTACAAGACGCAGCGTGAAAAGTTCTACAATTTATAAAGAACAATTATAAAAAGATACGATAGAACAAAAAAGAATTCGTCTTTTAACAAAAAACAATCTCGTTTTCGCAACGTAGAAATTTGGTCGCTCAGAGATTTGTCCATTTTGAAAATAAAAAGTGCAATTATAAAATAAATGGTCGTTTATAAATTGTAGAGCTTTTCACGCTGCATCTTGTGGTATATTTTGTTTTTTTAATACAACTTACAAAGTGAGAATAAAATGAAATGCAAAAATATCTCACCCATTATAATCTAATGCTACCAGGTAGTATGTAATAAAAATACTTCTTATCGAAATTTTATTATTATGACATCAGTTGAATAGTGATCAAATAGCATAGAAAAATAGGACGAAAGACGCTCTATCTGTTCATAAAAAAAGAAAATTTCTTTAACCTTTCTATAAGAAAATTTGGTAATGGCACCACTACTTTTGGATTGCCCTAAGTAGATGGAGAGTAAATTTGAACTACTAGCTGATGGAAATGACTCATCTTGTGCTACCAATAGAATCAATAGTTTATGCAGTAATTTTTTAATTATCATGATCAATATATATTTATCTTTCCTACAATAGGTTTTTTTTATTGAAATTATCTTTACAAGATTAATATTTACAGAGAAGAAATTTTCTGGACGAACAATTGGCTCTGTTATAATAAGAGTTTTTATTTGAGCACAAGTGCAACGTACTACATCATTAGTAAAACCCTCCGTTATAGTCGCTAATGTATCGTATTCAATGCAGAGATACGTCAAACGAGGTAAACTAATGTTTTTATCGAAAAGAAATCGTACCGCATAGTCGATATGTGCATTCCTAACATCGAGTTTGTATAGATAAGGATATGCAATAAATGTAGGAGAATCTTCCTTGTTTTTTCTGTGACGTCCAATTATTAATTAATAAACGTTAAAGAAATGGAAAATCTTGTCAGATTATTTTAAATAAATCATTTTCAAATGGACGTACATCCAACATTACCAAAAGTCGAACTTTATTGAAGATACCACCTTGAAAACGACTTGTCATAAACATAAAATTATCGAAATTATACGGAAGTGAATAGATATGACGGTAGCCTCTGCTCTCCCTAAGTTTATCATCAGCATATAGATCCACTTGTCGATATACTATTTTTATGAAACTATTGAGAATATCCTTGTTCGATGGACGATCGATTGAAATCTCATTCCGTAGTATTGAAATAAATAATATTAATTGATCAATATTTGACATTCGTCGAAGTAATGGAACAATACAATTGTTATAACAATATCTATAACAACTCGATATTAGTGAGAAATATTTCAATTTGGGAAGTTTTTTCTAACAAACGAAACAATGATTAGATTTGAGAAGTTTTTTTTTTAATATTCTAATGGTCAGATTTATCAAGGGGGAAACGGCGGATTCCGGATTCCCGGGATTCCCAAGATTCCCAGGATTCCCATGGGATTCCCGGGATTCCCAAGATTCCCATGGGATTCCCATGGGATTCCCGGGATTCCCAAGATTCCCATGGGATTCCTGGGATTCCCGGGATTCCCAAGATTCCCATGGGATTCCCAGGATTCCCATGGGATTCCCGGGATTCCTATGGGATTCCCAAGATTCCTATGGGATTCCCGGGATTCCCATGGGATTTCCAGGATTCTCCAAAAAATTTCCGGAATTCCCACCATACTTGCGGGTTCCTCATTGTATCTGAGAATAACAGAAAACTATAAAACAATACATCAGAAGATCCAACTTTCTTTGATTTACTGTTTTTATTAACATAACTCTTTTATTTCTTAATTTTGCGATTGACCAAAAGATGCAGGATTGTTGGCCACTGCTTTCAGACAGTGTTTCTCAAGGGGGAAACGGCGGAATGCGTATTTTCGGGATTTTCAGGATTTTTTCCGTATTTTTAGGATTTTGCGGATTGCCAGAAGATTTGCAGAAGATTTTGGGATTTTTGTGGAATTTCGGGATTTTCACGAGATTTCATGGATTTTTACGGGATTGCATGGATTTTTACAGGATTTTTCGGGATTTTTGTCGTACTTCAGAGGTTTTGCACAGAATCTTATAATGAGAGACAATAGGTTGAGTCATAGGAAAAAATAAATCTGTCATCGTCAGTTACCTAGACACGTCACTTGTTATGATTGTTATCACACCAA